AAATATTCAAAATTTGAAGCATCACGTGACCAGCCTTTACCAGGGCCTTTGCTGCTTCGCCTCCTTCCTCAATAGGCCCTGGGGACGAGGTTGTTTTGAACTTACAGTGAATAAGGGTAGGTAGAATCATTTCAGTGGTCTGCCTAAACGTTTGTCATTAAGGCATGTAAGTTGATGAGAGTTGATGAAAGTTGATGAGAGTTGATGAAAGTTGACGAGAGTTGATGAGAGTTGATGTGATCATGAGTTGATGAGAGTTGATGAATGTTGATGAAAGTTGATGTGAGTTGATGAGAGTTGATGAAAATTGATGAGAGTTGATGAAAGTTGATGAGAGTTGATGAAAGTTGACGTGAGTTGATGAGAGTTGATGTGATCATGAGTTGATGTGATCATGAGTTGATGAAAGTTGATGTGAATTGATGAAAGTTGATGAGAGTTGATGAAAGTTGACGTGAGTTGATGAAAGTTGATGAGAGTAGATGAAAGTCGATGTGATCATGAGTTGATGAAAGTTGATGTGATCATGAGTTGATGAGAGTTGATCTGAGTTGATGAAAGTTGATGTGATCATGAGTTGATGAGAGTTGATGAAAGTTGATGAGAGTTGAGGAAAGCTGATAAATGTTGATGTGAATCGATGGTAATATCCTCATGTTTCGTGCACGAATATATATCTCTTTGATCTTCACCCTAATTTTCTTCATTAATCATATAGAGGGCAATATGATTCCAATATGATTGGCTAATGAGGAGGGCATTTTTCTTAATTCAAGGCAAAATTACTTCTACCTGATTGGCTGAGACGCAAGCGCGGCAAGTTTCTTGTTTCAAAGAGCAATACAATGGTTGATTAAATAAAGTCCGTAAGTCCGGCGTTGAACAGATATACACCGTTCCAGACTTGTCTATTTGGTTTCGCAGGCGTTGTGTTTGATTCAGATTTAACTGGCTATCTCCGGCAATTGTTTACCTTTTACCTGTGTAGCTAATTCTACAAAAGTTCGGGTGCGTAGCAAATTTACTTACGAATAAATTTTGCCCGCTATGACAAGTAATCGCAAAATTAAGGTTTAAGTTCACTTCTGATTTCAAAGCTTTACAAATTGTGAAACTTTGAAAACACGCGGGGAATTAAATCGTAATTTTACTCGGCCTGATACAATTAGCTATACGAAGTATTAATGGTTTAGTCCGATGATACTTCGAAGACAACGACACCTTTTGACAAAATGCTTTGCCGATTAGACGATTAAAAATAAAGTACTGGGGCGGGTTGTATAAAACTCTTAATCACTTTTGTAATCACTATTTTGTAGTTAAATAGTGATTAACTCTCAAATAGGCGCTTCTTATTGGATGACGTTTGCACTTAATCATAGTTAACTTTAATCACTTTTTTATACAACCGGCCCCAGTACTATGACATCATATTATGTAATGCATGTTAATTAGGTAATCCAGGTGATCTTGATACGCGGAAAAGTACTGGCACTAGTTGTCAAATAGAAATCCATTTTATGATTAAAACAACTGAATATCTCCTGTAATATACTTTATTTCGATTCCATATTTTTGTCAGGGCTATAGTTCTCATAACCAAACATAATTACAAAATTTCAACTAGTTTCATAAAGAATAATGAAAGATATAATTGATTGAATACATCAAAATGGATTTCTATTCGGACAACCCTTTCTGAGCGCTGATTGGCTAAAATACGAACATGAGATCACCTGGATTAGCTTCTATTCTAAACGTCACTACTTAATTAGCCGGCATTGCAGGCGGTCCCTAAAATCGGGCAAGCCTGGGACTATTTAATTGGTCTATGTATCTATCAAACTAGAAATTCTTGCGCGATTTTTCTTTGCGAAGCGATTTTCTTCCAATTTTCCTGAATCGAGGTAAGATATTTCAGTGGTGAAAAGCTCGCCCTGATCGAACCAGGATGAGAGTTGATGAGAGTTTGTATGAGAGTTCTCTCAACTCTCGTGCCCCGCTAGAACGAGTTGCATGCATGAGATCAGAGTTGATGAAAGCCGACTGGATCCTACTATATCTGAACATCAACTCTCATCAAAATTTGGTTCCATCAATTCATCATAGCTGTCAGCTCCGTCTTTTTACAATTCATCTTATGTTTTTTTTATTTCAATCTAGTGTTGGTCGTCAGGTGAGACGATGGACAATAAACAAATGAACCAACTTCTCAGGTTGGTTTTATTGGTAGTGGCAACTACGTTTGCCCCAATATGGATTCCTGTTGCTGTCATAACTGTGGTACCAACATTCCTCATCCTGGCAGAAATTATAAGCACCATTGCTCTCGGCATAACAACGGTTTTAACCATTATACTGGGAACATTTGGAATACCCTTACTGTTCAGCACAACAGTGACTGCAGGGATGTACATGACGTACAAAGCTTTTGTAAAGATTGCTGTGAAAGCACAATGCTTCCTGTTCAATCTGAAACAGTTTTTAAACTTCCTAGTGAAGTTCAATCTGAAACAGTTTTTAAACGTAGGTATTTTTAAAGGCTGATTAATTTACACTTTCAGAGTTTGTGTGATCACAGTAGGAATTTTGCACATAGCTAAATTCTAAGTTTTCAACGATTTGTAGGGAATTGACTCTGGCCATGCTCACAATTTCTGTGCGACTACACACGTGAAAATGCACATGTTGTTACAAGTCTGTAAAGAAGTTGATACAAATCTGTTCACATGCAAGCTTGTTTTCTACATTTTGTGTTCGCGCAATGCTTGTTCTCAGTTGCTGACTTGCTGTAACAAGTTTGGAACAAGCTGTTAACATGAACTTGTAATAAGCTTGATGGCATTATCAGACTTGTTACTGATATTGACATCAAGCTTGTTCCAAACTTGGGACAGGAGCTCATAACAGCTTGTTCCAAAACTGTTGACAATTTGAGAGAAGCACTGCGATTTTCACGTGCATGTGTACTTTGCGAAAACGTGCTTGATACCCTTGTCATAATTGGCAGAATTTAAACCTTTCCCAGTTCCTCTCTCTAGCATTTGAGAGTTTCAATTTTATGGCAGCAAGAAACTATAATGAACTTCCGTTATCAGCTAGAAAACTTGAATCTAAGGTTTTATTCAGACAATTCTTAGATGAACATTTCTAACTGCATCAATTTTAATGGATGATCATATTTTTAACTGCATGCATTTATTTGTAATAGTATTTTAACTTGTACTGGATAAATAGGCTTAAATAAATAGTCTTATTAGTTGCAGGACCCTAGTGATAACAGTATTATTACTGATAGGTTATCCTGCATGTATAAATATTCGAAATATTATTTCAATATTTCATATCAAAATACGCATTACACTTTAGGGTTTGCCAATCGTGAACCGATTTGTGGCCAATGGTAAACGTGAACAGCTTGTGTATGAAGAGGAGAGTGAAACTGAAAGTGAAACTGTGGTTTCTCGTGCTGGACGACCAGTAAGTTTTAATGTCATATACTTCTCTACATCTTTCACCCATAAGCTAATTAACTACACTGTTAAATTAAGTTTGTACTTCTTTACAGCTACCCTTAGAACGTGTTTTCTACTTGTCTATACGGCCTGCAGGGCCGGTTGTTCGAAAGCCGATTAACTTAAACTGCAAAGCAAACTTCTGACAGCTTGTTTATAATTTATATTTGGAAATGTTTCTCCAGAAATCTCTCTAGATTGATTGGAATTAATTTACTTCTCTGAAGTTTTAAAATAATCAAAGAAATACAGAAACAAAAACAGCTGGTTAAATTTTAACCGAGGGTTAGGGCTAACCCACCTTTGGACAACCGCCCCCTGAAGTGGTTCTTTAATTCGGTGCTTACCACATTTCAGGCTGGTAGTTTTTAATCCATTGGCTCATTTACGCGGGATTTTGTTTTAACCCAAAACTGAGGACTGAATTTGAATCCCGTAAGAAATACTATATGCTATAACCTAGCCTTTGCACCTAGTGCAGGAAGCTCGCTGCTTCTGTGGAGCGTTGACCGAGCCTTTTAACATGAATGTCTTGAGTTTGTAGCGAGAATCAAACCCATAATCTCAGAGGCGCTTTCCGGCGGTTTGATTTGAAATATAATTTGCATTCATTGATTTCTTTGTTTTATTTTCTAGAGGGCAACGCATGTTCCATTCTCAAAGACAAATAGCATTCCTCTGTTTGACTTGTCCGATGTAGACGATGGCGATGAAATCGAGATAATTTTCAACAGCGTGGAAGAACTGCATTCCGTCATTTATGCATTGTGCAAGTCAGCACGGAATTGTGCTGTCTTGTGCAATGTCTCAAGACGCAACACCGTGCGCTAATATGTTGTCGTCTGCATGAGGACTTCGACCAGGCTTGCATTGTACACTGTGTCCTTTCTCCTCTAATCCGTATTTGGCAACGGCTGCATGCGTTTAATCGTTAATGTTTTCAACTAAGGATGCTCGTCTGACTGAACTTCGGAAGAATGGTTTGCTTGGTGTTTCAGACCATATCGGAATCCGAACTGTCGATATCTTTCGCCCAACGACATGGCTCAATGATGCAGGGGGGACTTGGAACTGTGCCGCGCTTAACTTGGGCTTCGTGATATGCATACTTCAGACTGCGGAAATTTAGCAACGATGAATGTCGTGATGTAGTCAACGTTGCACACAGTGTTTCCACTCCCCAAAAAATAATTTCCTTCTCCATAACCCGAAATTTCCTTTTTTTCCACAAAATTTCCTTCCAAAAATCTCTAAATATCCTTCCACTTTTCCTTCAAAATTTTTATCAAAATTGACAGATTTACCTGGTAATTAACATCTAAACTCTAGTATTGAAACACATTATATTAATTAATAACAGATAACTTTGTATTTTGCCGGTTAAAATCAGCTCATATTCGCCCCCGCGGGGGACAAAAAGCATAATAATTGGGGCTACTTGCTGTGGGTGTGAAAAGAGATTCCATAACTGTTTCTTGCATCTTTCTGCCCGCTAAGCAGCCCCCCCCCCCCCACGTAGAGTCTGAGAAATAATACCCTGGATACGAGGTTTGGTTGTTATTTCAATATAGCGAGTCTGGGGTTCTGTGCTAGATACATAGTTTCCAACTTTGGGGAAAAAAACATCCGTGAGATGTCGCTTGGGGGGCGTAGGGTGGGGGGGGGGGG